TTATTATTTTTTACTTTTAATATTAAAAAAAAAAATAATTTATGATTAATCTTACTTGTATCACCTCCACATGGTTAACACGCACCACAAACGTAACAACAAAAATGAAAATCAAATTTTAAATAAAAAACAACAACATGCATTTGTACATAAAAATCCACTAAATTCGCCTTCACCAAAAACATCAATCACGCATCAATCAAATTGTGTATAAATATTTATGTTTGTGCGTTTGTTTGTTTTTTCATATGTTTTTGTACCACCACACCCCGCAAATTGCTTTGGTTCACTGGGCGTGCGCGTCTACCCAACATAAATATAATTAAACCTGCAAACCAATATAAATAATTTTAAAAATAAAAACAAAAACAAAAAATATGGTGTTTGTTGTGGCGGTGTCATTTCGTTGGAATTTATATGTTTTTTCTGGTGTTTGCCAAAAATATAAACAAAATTGTGTACAAAACTACAAAACCAATAAACAACAACAATAAAAAATAACACGATTGCTTTGGTGTAATGTTACGTAATTGAAAAATACCAAAACTTATAAATAAATAAATAATTGGATGTGGAACATTACGGCAATTATTTGCATGCAACGCGCAGATCGCGTTGCCTTGGTCACCGCAGCACCACCGAGCTATACACGTATGTATCACTATTTTCCAGCACATTTATCAGCGCACCCGTTTTGTTTTTATCCACAACCACCCCCACCACCACCGCCACCACCAATTCCACCGCCAACGTTGACACAATTGCCCTCACCACCGACACTCAAACAATTGGGCAACTCACTGTCGTCAATGACACAAGCACATATCGCACAGACACTCCGGTATCCAGGTAAGGTTTGTATTGAATGCTTCATTATTTATTTAACTGTTATTCAATACACATACTATACAAAATTATACATATAATTATAGCAATGTTCATATACATACATATGTTTAATTGTGTTGGCTTATATGCATGCGTTTTCAATATTAACAAGAAAAACTATTACTGACACTAAGTTTTATAAGAAACGACATTCGATCATTACAATTTATGATTTTTAGACTAGATAACAAGAACAATGTTATCTTCGGTTGCATCGAAGCTGTGTTACCCTGCAACGGTTGTATGTTTTCCATACTACTCCTTGACTGTAATCGTTCATTTTGTATGGCAGCTATCCGTCCGATTTGAACAATTTCTTCAAAGTTTTTATGCTTGCTTTGTAGATTTATTTTGTGAAGATATGTAGTCAAATAAAAAAATTTTCTATACAACTCCTTGATGTGATCGCTTAGATCGTATGACAGCTATATGCTATAGTCGTCCGATTTTAATAATTTCTTCGGCGATTATACTGTTGCTTTAAAAAATTATTCAGGCCAAATCTTGTTAAGATTCCTCGTCAAATAAAAAAGTTTTCCGCACAAGGATTTTATTTCGATCGTTCAGTTTGTATGGGAGCTATATGCTATAGTGATCTGATTTGAACAATTTATTCTGATTATTTATGGTTGCTTTGGAAAATAATTTGTACTTAATTTCATATCAGATATCTCTTCAAATGAGAAACATTTCTATACAATCACATATTTTTGATCTTTCAGTTTGTATGACAGCTATATGTTTGAGTACCCCGATTGGAATAATAATCTTTGAAGATTGTATAGTTGCTTTGATATCACAGTCTATATTAACGGTTCCGCCAAATAAGCCGCTTTTTTGGGTGAAAGGAACGTGTGCAAAGCTTCAGACCTATAGCTCATCTAAGAGACTGGTTCTGCAATAGAATATACAGGCTGCCATGGCTAAGATTTGCTAAGATTACTCAGGCCGTCACTTTGATCATTTGTATACATGTATATGTATATGGTAGGGTATCCAACCTTTAACTCTGTTTACTAAAAACTACGTAGCAAACTCATTTCTTAGGAAAATTCTTAATTTTAAGATGATAGGATTATAATGGAATTTCTTTTTATGGTCATAGATCTACCATATTAATTTACGGAATTCCTTAAACTGAGTTCCAACATGCCCTTTCCACAAAAAAATTAAAATTTTACTAGTCTACACAGTTTCCGAATAAGATTGTCTCACAATCTTTGCTTACATGCTAATCCAATATGAATTCGATACTTTTCGCGAAAGCTTCATTCTCTCTAAATTTTGCTAGTCCGCACTGTTGCCGGTTAAGATAGCTTACATGCTTCTACGACATAAGTTCGTTACTTTTCACGAGAGCTTCGTTCTCTGCCGGTTGCTAGGTATCAACTTATTTCTCACCTTATCCAAAATGTTTTTAAAATTTCGATGTTCAAAGCGTTTTTCATGATTGTCCGCTTACTCATAGCTAAAGATCATATGATATCTAAAAGAAACTCAAATGGAATTGAAGTTTACACCGCCTAAGGCCGATGAAGCAACACTTTATCAAAACCGTCCGTCATATTTAATACAAGCGACATTAGCTTCCTTTACATACATAATTAGGGGCTTCGTAAAGTGTATCAGGATTTCTAAAAAAATTCATCAGTTGGCGCCTTATGGCGATTTTAAAGTTATTATAAGTTTGCTAGTTGGCATTTTATGGTTTTTGGTCTCAGTTAGTTTCAGCAATTGGAGACTAACTCTATGCACTAATACACCTAGTTCTGGTCATAACTTTTCAATTTCCAATCTAGTATAATAGTAAAAAATTATGGAGAAAATTTCTATGTAAAGCTTTTCTGAGTATCTTCTAAAAATCATATCTAATCATAATTCATATCTTCAAAAACCACTCACTTCTTTCTTATATACTAAACATTTCGTTTTCAGTATTTTTTCTCTTTTATCACACCTTCAACTACCTCCACATTTATCTCTTTTTTCTTCACATAGTAAACACTTCCTTTTCAGTATTTTTTCTCTTCTCTCACACCTTTAACAGCTTACACATTTATCTCTGTCCTTCATAGTAAAAACTTTCAACTCAGCATTTTCGTCTAACATGATTTTCGTTTCGCTCTCTGATCTACTCGACAGGTTTATTTATACGACCCGATGAGACCAATCTTTACACGACGTTGGAACCAACACTGAGCAGTAATCCGAATGTGTACTTCCAACGCGGCGGTGCGGTACATCCGGGCATGATGTACTAGATACAACCAACGAACTTCAAGCGAAAGTTGAAAAATTCACACGAAACAAAAGTGAATTGAGAAGACGACGACGATATTGGCTGCTGCCAGTGGTAGCAAAGGGCCGCGCAACAGTCGAGCACTGAGCAACTCAAAGTATAAAAGTATAACTTATTGCAATACGAAACGCTAAGCTAAGTTAAAAACTGAAAAGAAAATTTAATTTTTATGAACTTAGTAATAAGGAAAACAATTTTGTAGCACATAAGCCCCACATTTTAGTTTGTAAGAACTCCAAGTGCACATTTGCTCCCAGGGAGTGTATTTTACTATAAGAATTCACTACACGTATTACTTAGGTTAAGCTGTATTTAAGCGCTTGAGCGAAAACGAAAGGAGAAATATGAGTAAGCGTAAATGAGGAGGTGAAAAGCTAACGAAAATATTAGCATGAGCACAAGAAATCGCTAAGCAAAGACTTAAACTGTATTTCAAATATAAAAAATAAAGTAGAGACTTAAGAAGCGAACACTCATAGCATATTAAGAGCAATTAAGGCCAGATTTACTATGAAAATAGCAAAACGGGGTATTTCTTTTAGACATGTGTCAAGAAGGCATGAAACGTATGTATATCAGTTAAGTTATGGTAAAAAATTTGGTTCGCCATTAGGTTTTAATCATGATTTTGGGCTAGTGACTGCCGCGGCTCGCACAAAAAGAGAACAGAACCGGGACTGTTTTTTCGTTTTCACTGGAGACGTTTTTTATGTGACAGGTCCCAAACCCCAGCGCACAAATCTGGGGAGAGATGGTTTGCCTTCTCACCTCATCTCACCTTAAAACGGATGTTCTTTGGCTACCCAGAGGATATTTGGTTTAAGACTGGAAGTCCTGAGCTGCTGGAGCCATAAGTAAAAGAATCGTTTCTGGCCACTCCCAATTGAATAGCGCTAAGAGAACTTGAACAAAATTTTCTTGTGAAAATGGAAATCGGTGGCCAGCTCGCCGAACGTGCGACGCGCTTCATTGCTGTTTGGCCTCAATTGTTATAAGAGTTGAATTTTTTAAGCCGGTAAAGCAAGATTATTTCGAAAATCATTCATGGGCGCAGCTTCAATAGTTCGAGCATGATGGCGGATGGACTCATTCGGGTCTTCTTCGATACTTTAAAGCACAGCAACAATAGTGTTTTCGGTGAGTTCCGAACCGCGACGGTCAGAAGATACCAAATCCGAAAAAAGTATTGCTTTTTTGAAAACCACAAGTCTAAAAAAAAAAACCAATTAAAATCTGGAGAATATTAGCGCTACAACAACTCCATATATGGGCAACAGAACACAGCGTTAGAAATGAAACTACGCTCACTTAATGCTTGCACAATTTGCACACAATTTCGATGCGCCACGAAATTGAAAGCGATGGGCTGGTTAATGAACACCCATTGCAGTGTTCAAGCGCGCTCTTGTTAATTCAACAGCGCGCGGAACTCAGACTAAGCACATGACGGCTTGTGGAACCCACTTCTCAGACTAAGCATTTGCTGGCGCGCTACGCAAAAGGGCGCGTTCAGAGCAAGTCAAAAATAAAAAGCAAACAAACAATTTGGAGCAAGCGCTAAGGCGTTGAACGCATTCAGTGCGAGATATGCTGCGCGCAGCCACAGCAACACCTGTCGCCGTGCGCGCGCCTCAGTGAAAGTGTTTCGTTGCGTAAGTCGACGGCCGATAGTCATAAGCAAACAAAATTGAACAAAAGAGCAAGCAAGTGTAAGCCGAAGAAATGTTGTGCGATCGTAAGCTTTCGGTTTTTATTTTGATTGCCAATTTCTATACACACGCTCGCCACACAACAGAGCAGACATAAGCTTTGTTAAGGAAAAATTAACCATAACGTTTTTTTGTGTGTTTGTATGTCGCACAGCGCGTTGCTAACGCATAAGTAGCAAGGTGCAGCGCCGCCAAATATGGTGCGCGCGTAAATGGAATGAGCGCGGCGCTCACTTGAAATGTGTAACGAAAGCAACGCACGCATTGTTGTTGTGCTCTTCAATAAATTTTATGCGCCGCTTAAATTAGTTGAAAGCATTAAGTTTCGATTTTTCGATTGCTCGATTTTTTTTTTAGCTTAAGTACCAATGCACTTACGTAAGTTTAAGTCAATTTTTAATTGCTAGTAATTACTTGTAAATAAACGCTAATGTTAATAATTACAAAAGTAATAACAATAACACGAAATTGTATGTAGCTGTAAGTCCAATACATATATACATAAGTCTAGTGTTAAGTAAGTCTCTTAATACTTATGCATTACAATAAGCGCTTCCATATTCGTATATTCGTATATTTGTGTGTTTCTCTTTTTAAGTATTAGTTGTAAGCATGTAAGTGATGTAACTGTGTATTTGTAAGTATTCAATGACTTGTCAATACGAACTCTTTATACTATGACAATGTATGAAAAGCGTAAAAGTTTAAATAAAATATAACGAGATAACGGAAATTTGTATGTAAATACATCCCTGACTTTTAACTTGCATATTTTTCACGGTTTTAAGCAGGTAAATGCCAAAAATCAAAAGCTCCATCAAATGAATCAAAGATGTAACTTGAGAGAACTTCGGTTGCTCAGCTTGTAGGAGGGAGTGGGGAGCGAACGGCAACAAACATATGACACGCCAAGTTACTACTGGGAGGTTACAACCTGGAAAGGTTTAGAGACATGATTAACTTCCACCGAGACAAATTCAGTGATTATATCACCTCAGTCGCGTCCAGCAAGCTCCTGGAATTTTTTCGAGTTTTTTCAATTTATGATCATATGTGATATAGGAGAGAACACAATAGACCATAGGTCGCAGTGAAAAACCTCAATTATTATTTTGTTTTCTTTCTAGCTTGGGACAGATTAGGTTAAGTGAAGAGGTCGATCTTCACAGGCATCACACTCGAATAACTAAGAATATCGGTCCATTTCGGTAAATAAAACTTTTATATAATTGATAAGATACTTACAAATCGACAAAGCGTTTTGAGGCTAACACAAATTTATTGAGATGGCTTATGTCAGTTTCTCTTCTGCTTCATCCAAGATATGACTGCGGAGTTGTTTCAACCTCAAATGTTGGACATCTTAAGAGAAAGTGTCTCGATGTTCCCAACACACATTCCTCCATACAACTTTGATAACTTGCAGCCGACAAGATCTTTAGATTTCTAGCTAAGGTAAGATTACAGAGATTTTCAGCATCAGTTTTGTAAAGACTGGGCAATGAAAATCTCCGCATGTGCCCCTATGTTTCCACCTCACTTTCTTCCTTTATATTTTGACAATTTGGTCAGACTAATTTTTAGCCTTGCCGCATAAATGCCTTTTACGCAATGTTCTTTTTACAATTTTACAATTACATCAAAGATAAATTTCCAAAGGGTAAGTAGTTCAGTAGATCTCTTGTGTTCTATTCTGTATCAAAAGAAACTACGCCAGGTCCATTGTTTCAATGCTAAAACGCAAGAGACGCTAAAGGGGAACCAACTCGTCCTAATTCGGTTAGAACTTGGAGCTTATTGGCTTTGCAGCGACTCCTCTATAACCGCATAACCCAACTAGTTGCCTATTTCACTATTTCTAGCGGAGATAGTTCCAATGCGTTACTATTTTGAGCTCGGAGCTCATTGGCTTTGCAGCGACTCTGCAAGCTAAGCTTGCCGGAGAACTCCTTACACCTTCCTTCCTAGGTTCAACCCATTCAAGGAAAAGTTCACTGAGTCTTTTCCCCAGCGAATCCTCTTCTTCCACATACTCTTCGCCGGTATCATCAGTGTAGGCTATTACCGGACCGGTTAACTATTTGAGATATGTTTGCAATACTCTCCTCTAGGACCATTCTGTCGTACATAATAATATTTATGCGGTGTTTTAGGTTTGGTTCCACCTCAAAAATTTGGAGTGCTCAAACATATATTTCAAGAATTAAGAGCGGCCTTTTCGTATTGCCTTCAATTGACACTTCTAATTTTCCACAAAGTGCCTGCAAAGCTATGCAACATTCTACCGCTATGCAATATAAGTTAACCAACAAGCTCCGTTATACGCTGATCGTTCATTTTCAACCATGGTATTTGCAGCTTCTGGCATTCAGCTTAAAACCGAGACCAACACGCGAGTCAACAGGTTATACCGCGCCGTGGCTATGCAAACCGCGACAAGGATGACAGCGCGCAAGACGTGCACGCCCTTTAGCTGTTACGACTAGAGCAGCGCGACTGGCGCTTGCTTTGCGACATACAAACACATCGCTGGCATGCCATTGCCGTTACGAACTTACCCAGCAAAGCACACTTCATAATTCAAGAAATGGTTGAAGGCGTTGCAATGGCGCCAAGACGACGCAGCAACACTCAATCTGGTCAAACACACTACCGCGCTGGCATGTAACTGATACATTGAGTAATGCAAAAGCGGCAACTAGAACGCTGTCGTGGCTCCATTTTTTAAAAGTGCACACAGCGCGCCGCCTCCAGCATCCACCCACTGTCAGCGCGTGCCAAAAGTGTTGCGCCAATGTCATGGCTCTATGTTGTGCACATTCAAAAATAATTGAAATCGATTGCCTTAAATGGTAAATTTAACGCATGCGCCGCAGCCAATGGACCTGGCGGTCAATGCTGGCGTATTACCATTTATTGCGCGCTGCAGATTTGTCTACTTAGCGCCACTATTGCGCACGAACTCATGTTATTGCATAAGTAAGGCACTAGCCGCTTGCAGCATGTGAGTCCAAGATGAATTGTGTTCATGCGCGCCGTCTTAAGTGGATTATGCGCTGCTGATAAAGTGGAGTAGTGTGGTTGAGGCCGCAAAGTGCGTGTGTCATGACCGTTGTGGTCAGTATATCGCGACGCCGGTTCTTCCGTTCCAATTATTAGAGCGCGCGTTGCTGCCCACTCAATCAACCTCGATACCAGTACACCGCAGTCAGTTTACTTTGTATGTAACAACGTGTGCATTAGCTGTCAGGTTGCCTTAATTTGACATTTACAATCTCCTTGATTAGTGAGGCATAATTAATAGTGATGCTAATTTGCTGTGACGCCTGATTTGCTCTTTATCCTTTCCAACATACAAATCTGCCCTTATGTAAGTAGACTCTTCTCTAATATTCTGCGTCTGCGCTTGTATAAGCCATTTCATTGCCGACAACTCAATCACTTGCCGCCTTCTGACTTCTGCGTCGCTGATTAAGAAGCCGAGGATTTGGATCTCTATTGTGACTTTCTGCTTTAGCTCAGTTACTGTAGCTATACCACGTCGTTTGTTCTTTAGTGCATTTTGGAGCTCTGGTTTCGGTTTCCTTTCTTCAGTTTGAGCAGCAGAGTCCATGATTTTGTTTTCCGTTTTGAACAGACTTGGTGAACCAAGACGTGGTGGTCCACCATGATGTGCCGTCGTATGTTTTGAAGCATCTTGGCATAACTCTGCTGTTCTGAAGGTTTAATTAACACTGCTTCTGGCCGTATTCTGGTTCTATTTCTTCTGAAGCTTGGCATCTTGTTCTTCACTACATGCCATATGATATTTCTGGGTCCTCGCTACCATTTCTCTGACTCCTGCTCTACTTGGCTGGGCACAGTTCGTTTAGGAAGACGTTAAAACATCATCATATTCGTTGCATCTTTCTAAGGATTTAGTTGCTTTCGTGCGTTTTATCCAGTTCTGGTGCAGGCTACCAATGTGGTCAAAGAACTTGTATAAGCCAATTTTTACTTCAGTACTTTTGTATCTCTGCTTTGGCTTGACTATCTTCATCTTCTTGGAGAATTTAAGAGCGCCTGCTTCACTTCTGGTCCCATCTTTAAATTGAAAAAGCTCCTGCCTCGATAACTATGGTTCCATTGTTGGTTTTCCCGTTTCCATCCACAAATTCTGGCATAGACAAAGCAGTTATTTTCGTGCAAACAGTTTAGATTGCCCTATCGTTTCCCATTTGCGACTGCGAGCTCAGCTAAATTTCAATGACCAAGACAAGCTTTTGAAAGTAATATCCACATAACCTCAATTTGAAGTGAACAGAACTATGAACTTTTGCACTATTTCATAACTCGCTTCTAGAACTCTCTAGAAATCGTTGCCTTACACTTCAAAAATAATACAAAAATAATATCGCATGAGCTACGGCAACTACTAATTGCTTAGGCATTTTTTCAGGCAGCTAATATGGCGAAAATACTAATAGGGCTTAGAAAAGCTGTAAAATATTATAATTCTTTCTCTTCCGAAAGGAAATGCATATTTTTACTGCTAATTATGCATTTTCGAAAAGCAGTCAAGTGTAAATGTTATTAGAAAGTGCTAAGTAGTAAATATCTGTTGGAAATTTTAAGGAATTAATTTAGGTTATGGCAGAAATAACTAACCTACTCTTGCAATGAAAAAACGTAAAGCGTTAGAGGTTCACAATTTCCTATGGCGTTAGCTGTCAAATCTGCTGTCAAAGTACAGCAAATTATGGGCTTTGCTGAGAGATTATGTTGACCGATAATTTGGAGCAACGCGCGATCAGTCGAAGCAGTATTTTAATAGTAACAGCTGAGGTAAAAAGTTCGTAGGCTGGACACAATGATAATACTTCTTCTTCTTTTTTATTGGCGTCAAAGCTTACGCGGTTATAATTTAGTTTGAACAAGTCGAAATCAGCACCGAAGAATGCCTTAAAGAGATTGTTACCGACAAAAACATTAAAAAACGTTCTGAGATTCTAAACATATCAAATCAACGAATGGGTTTGGGTATGCGAAAGCTCTGTGCAAAGTGGGTGCCACGCATCAAAAGAACAAGGAATTGATGATCTTGTGAAGTGTTTATAGATCCTTAATTGTAACAAAATAGAATCTTTGCGACGATATGTGACAAGGGATGAAAATGGCTTCATCATTTCACATCGAAGTCCAATCGACAGTCAGCCGAGTGGACTGCACGTTAGAAACTTGAACACACAGCATGGAAAAACACAACAGTCAGCTTGAAGGTTATGGTACCAGCATTTTGGACCGTTTGAAGGACTACTGCTGTTTCACCAAGGCAATGAACCGCGTCAAAAATCAGTGAAAACGATGACAAAATTCCATGAATTAGTCTTCAAATTGCTTCCACAACCACCATATGCTCCAGATTTGGCTACCAGATTTCAAAAGAATGCTCACAAAGAAGAAATTTTCGGCAAATGAAGCGGTGATCGTCGAAACTGATGCCAATTCTGAAGCAAAGTATAAATCATACTAATAATTTGGCACAAAAGTCAGTACATCTTTGAACTACGTTGAATAAAAATCGCTGCCAAAATGGATCAGAACGTGGACGCACTCTCCCCACACACGAAAAAAGGACTAGCGATGCAGAACATATTTTAAGATTTCGGAAAATCTCCCAGTTTACATTCGAAGACTTTTTACTAGCCATTGGCAAGCTCAAGGCCAATAAATCACCCGGCCTAGAAGAGATCACAGCAGAAATTCTG